ACGATTACTTAACTTTGATACCAGAGCCCCACATGTCCTTATTCTCAGCCCATAGCTTTGTCTACTTTGACTGGGAAGCAGTAACAATTTGTGTGCCAGACCCTCTGCAAGGTCTATAAATCTAATTTATACAACAAAATAAGAAAACATTTATGCTTGCTATCTATGTCCTGATTTTGTTATAAATTTGAGACTTTAAAAAGTTAGGTAATGCTTCTAAGTTAGGTAATGCTAGATAAGTAAATAAAAGTTAATTCTCTATAACTTGAGATAAATATTCACACTGCTAGATGCTGGTTATAAAATGGGGGGCACCTTCTATTTGGTAATGAGACTAATTATAAATCACAGAAAGATCTTTAATAGTTATATCTAATGAGAAAGAGATTTAATCCTCAGACTTTAAAATATAGGTTGAGCATCCCTAATCTTAAAATGATAAATCTAACATGCTGTAAAATCTAAAACTTTTTGAGCACCAACACAATACCACAAGCAGAAAATGTCACACCCAACCTCATGTGGTATTTCATACTAAAAAAATGCACACAGGGCTGGGGTTGTGGCTCAGTGGTAGAGCGCTTGCCTGGCACAGTTATCTTAAACTCCATGTATAAGGTATATATGAAACAAATTTTGTGTTTAGACATGAATCCTAACCCCAAGATATTTTATTTTGTATATACCCAAATGTGAAATTTGAAACATTTCTGGTTCCCCAAGCATTTCAGATAAGGATACTCAACCTGTTGTACTCAGCCTATAGTTGCTATTATGAATGACCTCTTCCATAGTCAGTAAATGCCTTTTAGGGAATTAAAAAATTGATACTTCAACCAAAAATTTTGAGACTGCCTCTTTCCCCCTTTAGTTATTGTTTTTTTTCTTCAAGAATAAAAACCTAAATCATTCCTTTAGATGAATAAAGACCTTTGTGTGTGAAAAAGGCTGATTTTTCTCAGGGAAATTTTTTCAAATTTAATTATATTTCACAACTCAAAACTTTTAGTTTTAGTTTTAGTTTTTGTTGCTGGGTGTGTAATCCCAGAGGCTCGGGAGGCTGAGGCAGGAGAATTGTGAGTTCAAAGCCAGCCTCAGCAGTGGCGAGGCACTAAACAACTCAGTGAGACCCTGTCTCTAAATAAAATACACAATAGGGCTGGGGATGTGGCTCAGTGGTCGAGTGCCCCTGAGTTCAGTTCCTCCTACTTCTCCACCTGCCCCATCACCCCCACCAAAAAAAGTTCATGTTTTCTCAGATTGATATATGGCTTCTTTTGTTGGAACCTTGAATACAACAAAGTGTGTACTTGGGAGGAACACTTTCTGTTTTTGTAACTTCAGGGACAGGGTTTGATAAGCATGTTGGGGGTTGGCAGAAGACAGAAGAAAGCACTTCACAGAGATTAAAATGGTGAGCCATTGATCTGCAGTGTGGATTTAATTGATTATAGTATCGTAGAATTTACTTGATCTTCTGGACATTTGGGTCTTTATTGCATCATTATTCATACATCTTTACACATGTTTTTTTTTTCAGTAGATCACACTATGACATAAAATTACTAATTTTTGAAAGCGTTTAATATTAATAAATTTTGGGGGGCTGGGGATGTGGCTTAAGCGGTAGCGTGCTCGCCTGGCATGCGTGTGGCCCAGTTTCGATCCTCAGCACCACATACAAAGATGTTGTGTCCGCCAAAAACTAAAAAATAAATATTAAAAATTCTCTCTCTCTCTCTCTCTCTCTCTCTCTCTTAAAAAAAATTAAATAAGTAAACTTTGGAATAATGTCCTCCAGAAAAGTTATGTAAGCATGTACTTCTAGTATATGATTTTTGTTCATTCTTCCAGCACTACAATAGTAGTCATTATCATGTTTTACGTTTTTTTGTCAGTTTAAGGGGAAGAAACAACAAGACATAGTGGTGCACGCCTCTAATTCCACCTACTTGGGAGGCTGAGGCAGGAGGAACCAAGTCAGAGGCCAGCCTGTGCAATTTAGCAAGACCCTGTCTCAAAATAAATGAAAAAGTTTCAGTGTTAGAGCACTTGCTTACCACAGGTGAGGCCAGGGGTTCACATTCCCAGCATCACAAGAAAGGGGAAGAGGGCATTATTACTTAGTTTTGATTACTAATGTAGTCATATGTGCATATCTGCTAACCATTTTTATGTGAATTCTCTGTTTATGACCTTTGGCATCTTTTAAGAGAAGTGTTAATAGTTTTCCTAAGGGTTTTTAAAGACTTCTTATACATGAAAGATATTGCCCTGTTGCCCTATGGTAGTTCTGTTGTTTTGTTTTGTTTTAAGGAACCTCTGTATAGTGGGTGCATAGTGTTTTCCATAGTGGCTACACTGTGTATGTGGTGTATTTTTAACATCATTAACTAAACATACTTAGAAAAATACACAGAACACTAGTACTTTTTCATATAACAAATATCTAGATTGTCTCAAAGTAAATAGGACTGGGCTGGGCACAGTGGCACATGACTGTAATCCTAGCAACCTGGGAGCCTGGGACAGGATGATCACAAGTTCATGGCCAGCCTCGACAACTTAGGGAGGCCCTCAGCAACTTAGTGAGACCCTGTCTCAAAATAAAAACTAAAAAAGGCTGGGGATGTAGCTCAGTGGTAAAGCACCCCAGGGATCAATCCCAAGTAATCCACTTTACCACCAAAAAGTGTCATGACCCTCTGTGATGTAAGAGTTTATGTTTCTTAAACAAAATTCAGAAAACTTCTTTGATTTTGGGTGACGTCTTTTTTAAGTGGCACAATGTTGAACACACAAGATTGTTTTTCTTCACATTCACTTGCCGTACTTGATTCATGCAGAGAACAGTGCTGTCCTGATCATTATAATCTAAACGCCCCCTGGCCAAGTTGTAGGAAAGTCCTATGCTGGCTGAGGGCTCAGCTTTCCCAGTCTGCTGTACATCGCCACTCTGGCGTCTGTTTGTTTTCTGTTACTGCTCCTGTCATCTCTGCTGTTAGTCTTTGTCCTATGAGTATGTCGTTAGGAATTCTTCTGTAACTTAGTGGTGTTTCAGGAGAGGAGAGGCTAATATGTGACTGACATCTTTCAACTTTTTTAGACATAATTTTCTCCTTGTGTGATGTATTTGTGATGTATTTTTGTTTCCTGTTGTGAATAGATCGTGCTTCTTGCAGTCCATTGCAGTTGCCAAACTCCTTGAAATTTTGTTTCGACCCATGCCGCTGTTCTTGAGTTTTCAGAAGGATTTTCTTCTTTTGTTTCTGAACATATTTTCATACATTGTTCTTTCTTTACTCCAAAAATATATTGTATGTTTCGCCCTTGCTCTTTACATTGGTGACCTGAGTTGTATGGACCTTGATCAGTTTTTGCTTTTGACTCAAGTTTAACTTAAAGTTATTTGAAGGTGGGGATTCTGTGTTAAATCTCTGTCCCACCTAGGTCTTAGTAAACATGCTACTATAGACTGTAGTCCCTTAGACAAGTGTTTAATAAGTGTTTAATGAAAAGACAAAGTTCAAAACAGAATATATAAAAAATTGAATTGCTACTTTATATATTGCAGTTTTTTGGTATATAATGAAAAATCTTGTGAGACTGGGTTAGTAATGTTAGGTGTAAAATTTACGGCATTTCTTCTGAAGTGTATATATTTATGGTAATGAGACCAAAGCTCTGAATATGATTTTTATTACTCCCTGCAAATCTCCAAGGTGGCTTAAGTTCTGTGGTATGCTTTGTATTAATGTCGCAAACCTACTCCCTAATAATTGATACTGTTATCCAAGGACTCCAATATAATCGTGTCCATGAATGAGCAATCCAGATCATCAAGTTATTGGGGGAAAAAATAACCTGAAACTTAATCTAATAAAGGTTTTCTTTTGATATGGAGACTAATAATAGGATTTCTTCTTCTTCTTCTTCCTTTTTTTTTTTTTTTGGTGGTGCTGGGGATAGAACCCAGGGCCTCAGACATAATAGGCAAATGCTGATGAGTGAGCTTAAAAAATTCACTTGATAACTTATGTTTATTTAAAATAGTTGTCCATCAGTAATAACCAGTTATTCTTTGTTTTAAACTATTTTTCCATTGGTTCTTTTTTTGAACAATTTTTTTTGATCGGCTATTTAATTATGTAGTCAGAAGATGAAATTGTAAATATTATTATAATTCTCATTTTTTACTGAGGTATTAAGTGTTAACTGAAAAAGTTTACAAGTAGTACCTTTATCCAACAATTTAAATTATATTTTTTCAAGCTGATACTAAATGAAATAAATCATCAGTATGTATAAGGCTTGTAAGAAGATCAGAAGGGTAGTTTAAGGGTAAGCACTTGTTGGTGGAATGGGAAGGATGTTGCTGGCTAATGCTGAATGTATATTTAATCAGTAGCCATGTTCTGTGTAACAGTGGTCTTGGGATAGCCTGTTGAATCTGTGTCTTCTGCCTCCCCCTCTTTTCACATAAATGTAATGAGGTCATTGCATTTCTGAGAACTTTTAAGTCTTTTCAGCAGTGAAATAATCAAAAGACAGGCATCAGAAAGGATAAGGGAAAAAACATTAAATAACAGGTGGGAATTGACTCCCTAAGGTAGACAAAGTATAGCCTCAGCCAGCTTTTTCTGAGCAAGCTTTAAAAAAAAAATCTGGTTTTTCGATAAACTTCATAATTATAAATGTTCAGGATTGTTGTTTTTATCAGTATGACTCCAAACTATGTGATGTGTAATTGTAAATTAGTAATTCGATTAATCCACTCCTTGCCCATTGAATGAAGCTTATTTATTGAGCTTTAGCCCCCCCCTCAAAGCTTTCTTATTTATTCCTTACCGACCTTTAAATGAAGAAAACAGAATATAATTGTATTTAAGATAAAGATAACTAATGGACTATCCAGGATTTGCAGGATGTGTTGAAATTGATTACATATTATTTTGAAATATTAATCAACAATGATCCAAATATTTTTGTTTTCATTTTAGAACAAAATACAGTCTCATAGCAGAGGAGAATATAATGTTTACAGCACCTTCCAGAGCCATGAACCAGAATTTGACTACTTGAAAAGTTTAGAAATAGAAGAAAAGATCAACAAAATTAGGTGGTTACCCCAGAAAAATGCTGCTCAGTTTTTATTGTCTACCAATGGTAAGTGCACATGTCCTCTTCAATGCCTACTGCTCGAATCTGTCCCACAGGGCTGCTCACCTTTTCCAAGAGGGCTCATAATAAGAGTTCTCTGTGAAGAGACATTAAGAAACTTCTCTCTACTTCTCTCTACCTCCCCCTCCCTCCCTCCCTCCCTCCCCCCCTCCCTCCCTCCCTCTCTGCCCCCCTCCCTCCCTCCCTCCCTCCCTCCCTCCCTCCCTCTCTCTCTCTCTCTCTCTCCCTCCCTCCCTCCCCCCTCCCTCTCTCAATTTTTAGATTCTCGAGTACCAGTTATTTAATGCATGTCCTATTTGTAGTGAAAAGAACAAGCTGCTTCACCATTGGGTTAGGTTGGTGCTATTTTTGTCACTGTTCAACTTCGTAGCTTTGTGCAAGTTACTAATACTCAGTTGAATTTTCCTCATCAGTAAACTAGAGACGGTAATGTCTGTATTATAGTATTATTGTATTAAATTTAATAACTTTGCTTACATAAGGAGTATGTTAATTCCCTTTCCTCCTTCTTTCTAAGTGTACCTAAGTTCTATTATATGCTGGTTAGAGTTGACTCTGTAATTTGAAGCCCTTTATGACAAGTTAAGTATTGGAAAATTTCCTTTTGTTCCTTTGTATTTTTTTCCCTATAAATCACTGTTGGCTTACCCGAGAATCATTACAGTGATTTGAGGAGATATTTCAGAAACCAGATAGCAAGTATATAGAATTTTAGATTTTAAATTTTAAATCTTTTTTTGAGACTGGAACAAGGGTTGGGAGAAACATCTCATTTTCTCAGCCCCCCTTGCTATTAATAGGAGAAATTCTAGCACCTAGACCTCAGTATTTGCAGAGTATGAACTCAAATGGCTTCTGTGGTAACATGCTAGATGACATTGAATGCCCCTTCATCCAGTTTATGCCTCATAGCCCTTTTATACTGAAATCTTAGAAATGTGGTCAACAAAATATTGCAACTCCTGATGCCATTTTACCTCCTCTTAGGGAACCGTTTTTCTTATCAGATCTCTATATCAGCCTGTTGAATCTGTATCTTCTGCCTCCCCCTCTTTCACATAAACTGCATTGTCCTCTCACTAAAAATAAAGTAACTAAAGCCTTTAACTCACGGCATCATAGGTGGAAGTAGTACATTTACTTCTGTTACGTGTTGGCTTCTAATTTTTTTTGTTTTAATTTATATGGTAAAGTAAATTATTCTAAGACTCATTTTCATTGATGTGAAATAATGCAGGATCCTACTTTGAAAAGTAAAATAGCAATTACGGTCATCAAGTATTCGAATATTCATAATAATTTTTGGCAGCTCATTTCTTATAGACTATATCATTTTATTTTTTACAAAAGAAAGTTTTAAGTGTAGACTGAAGTAGAGAGAATAGTATAATGAAGCCCACATGCCTGTCTCCCAGTTTCAGCAGTTGTCATTACTTCTTCCTTCTTCTGTGTTATTTGGAAGCAAATGCCATTTCAACTCATGTGGATTAAATTTTAACTATCCTTCACTTCTTTTTATGTCTACATGTGTTCTGTAGAGCCTTTGTTGTGCTCCTCTGGAAACATAATCACCAGATGAGCCTTTCTAGACCCTAAATGTTATAAAAACTCAGTGGCGAGAGAGGCCGCTAGAAATTCCAGTGGCTGGATCAACAGTGTATGACTCTGTAGTTTTTATTAACAGTATCTCCCAAATAGATTTAGTACGTAAATTTAAACTTGCAAAGTTTTTGACTAGTGTTACAAATTATCTGAAGGCACTATACAGTGAGTACATTGTAAATTTTTGTCTTGATGAATTCTAAATAAACACAAATAAATTGAGAATGCATTATTTTGTTTGTGGGTGTGCTAAAAGTAGTACTTGAAAAATAGGATCCAAGGTGGGAGGATAAACTTGGCATGAGCATTTTCTAAGCTGTTGTGCCTGGGTGATAGGATGCAGAAAGGATGGAGGAAGGAGTAGGACTTAAGCTACATCTGAAAGGTTTATTTAAAAGGACAAAAATGCAGGTCAGGAGAAATAACATCTGATAAATCTGAGTGAGATCTTTATTTTGTGTGGTTTTTCTCTGTGAGAATTAGCATAATACCCCCTGTACCCCAGTGTAAGGGGTCTTTATAGTCATAAAAATAAGTTCAGAACTACTACTATGGGATATAGTGAACTCACTTAAAATTCAAATGTTTTTGATTCTTTTTTTTTTTTTTTTTAATCTTTCGCCTTTCTCTGGTGTGTGTGTGTGTGTGGAGGGACACACCCGGGATTGAATCCAGCTGCCCTTAACCACTGAATCATATCCCCAGCCCTTTTTATTTTTTTATTTTGTGACAGGGCTTACAACCTCATTAAGTTGGTGAGGCAGCTTTGAACCTGCAACCCTCTTCCCCTAGCCTTCTGAGCCCCTGGGTTTACAGGTGTATGCTACCATACCTAGCTTCTCTGATTCCTTTATAATGCCTCCATATTTTAAAAACATCTGACCAGCCTGTTGGCCATGAGTCTTAAATATACAAATATTAACGAATTGCACTCAGAAGTAGGTTGTTCTCAAAGCTTTTAAGTTTTTGAGTTTTAGACAAAAGCTGCATTCCCACAAAGGAGGGCTTGGTGGCATGTTTCTCTGCTCTGACTCTGTGTTTGGCAGATGGACCCCAGGGACTTTGGGCTTCTAGAATTTTTAATTATTTGGCAGTTTTAGGAAATATGAGTGGAGGTTATGGAAGGAGCAGATCTCATTGAGAATCTAAAAATCCTCTCCTTGAAAGATCTTACATAATCTTTCAAGTCTTTAGGTAGTTTGTTTTTAGGGTGGTCCCCCCCCCCCCCCCCCCCCCGTAATACTGCAAGGAACATAAACTAATTTCATCTCTTCTAAATGTTTGATAAAGTATATTGTAATTTTTGAAAATCTGGATTGTCATTAAAGATAATGAATTGAAACAGGCCACAAGACAGCTGTAACGATGGGTAACAGGGTTGTCATCTTTATTATCAGTGATTTCAGATATTTATTTGTCCCAGAATATAGAATTTAGGCAGTACTTCTGTCTAAATTATATAAATATGGCTGGGGTTGCGGCTCAGTGGCAGAGTGCTTGCCTCTCACATGTGAGGCACTGGTTTCAATTCTCAGACCACATAAAAATAAGTTAACAAAATAAAAATATTGTGTTCATATATAACTTTTAAAAAACAGTTACATGTTAAAAAATTATATAAATATACACACTAAATAGTACATAGGAAACACATAGAACTTAGCTGCAAGAGAATTATAAACAGGATTACATAGAATTTAGAAGGAATAGATTATAGGTTACTATAATTAGTTGTTGTTTTGTTTTGTTTTTGAGAAGGGCATCTACAGGAACAAACACTCTTTTAAACAAAGGAAATAAAGATTACCAGGCTAGAGATTCACTGGTATCTCTCTCTAGAAATTGTTTTTGCATTGCTTTTATAAAATGGCTCTAAGTGTGAACTGAACCTAATGACTCACTTCCAAAGAATAGAGTGTGGCAGAGGGGGTGGTGTGCTTGTGTGTTAGGGAAGCCTAGTTTTGACAACCCTATCAAAGTTGCATAAGATGCTGGCATCAGAGCAATCTGGGGGAAGGGTACACTCCTGTCTTTGCAACATTTTTTTAAGTCTAAACTGAAATCCAAAGTAAAAGTTTATTTTTAGGGGTTGGGGATTAAGCTCAGTGGCTGAGCACTTCTTTGATATGCACAAGGCCTTGAGTTCAGTCTTGTGTCCTGGGTCAGGGGAAGGGGAGAGGGGACAAGATAACTGTGTAAAGTTTATTCAGAAATTTTGTCTTGAAGGAATTGGGGCATATGCTTTCATTCAATCAATTTTTTTTGTTTTTGTTTTGGGGAGCTGTTTCACACTTAGGAATCCCTGATACAGGGGAAAGACATATTTAAATGGAGGCATCCAGGGCTATGAAGGAATCTGTGGATCTTTGATAACATATGCTTAGAGAGTGGACTGAGGGAGAGATGCCTTGCCATTCCAGTTGTAAATAATAAGCAATGTGAAGGAAGTTTATCATTCACTCTCTTTAACTTTTTTGAGTTAGATACTGAGCATATTTGTATACCTATTTTTATGTGGTGCTGAGGATCCAACCCAGGGCCTCACACCTGTGAGGCAAGTGCGCTACCACTGAGTTACAGCCCCCAGCCACTACCATGTAGTTTTAATTCTTTAAAGGATTGAGATCTGGCTGTGGCTTGACTTGAATAGCACATGGAATTTGTATGATTGCCATTAATATATAAATTTGTAAGTTTTGTGTATTTTTTTACATGATAATTAGAATTTTTATAGGTGAAATGTAAAGTTATCTCTTAAACTTCTTTATTAGTATTATTTATTTTTGAGGACATTTATTATTCTCTCCTCAGATAAAACAATAAAATTATGGAAAATCAGTGAAAGGGATAAAAGACCAGAAGGCTATAACTTGAAAGAGGAAGATGGAAGGTATAGAGATCCTACTACAGTTACTACACTACGAGTAAGTACTTAAAAAATGATTCAGATGGATAGGATTTTATGTTCATACCACGTATAGCCTAGATTCTGAACAGAATAGGAATAACTGCAATTGCAATTCTCAGCCCCCACCAGCAGTTCTGTAACAAGGTAAGACATTGAGTTACTCTCATTTAAAGATAGAAACTGAACTAAACAGAGGTCTTGTTGTAGCCAGGTCAGAACTAGGACTAAAACACAAGAGCATGTTTTATACTGTACCACTGCTCTTTTTCATAGTTGGAATGTCCGTTATTACAAGATTAAATTTGAAGATTCGTTTTTCTTCAGAGATCAAAAAAGTGCAAAGGGAGTATATGCTTTAGTTGTAACTTAAAAAATACTAAGTGCTGTGATTTAATTTCTTTTTTTACCTCATTAATTTGAACCACAAATATTTAGTATCTTTCAAGTAAATGGTTGGAACAAAGGCAGCAAATTGTCCACATTGTTTTCTTTTTTATTCCCATTTCAAATTGAAAAGATCAGCATCAGTTGCTTTTTAAGTCTGTGATATTATGCTATTTTATGTTCTCACAAACCAAAATAATGAAGTGTTCTCAACTTTCACTGCTTAATGAACTTATTGTAAATTCTGGGTTTTTTTTTCATGTCTTATTGACAGGTGCCAGTCTTTAGACCCATGGATCTAATGGTCGAGGCTAGTCCGCGAAGAATATTTGCCAATGCTCATACATACCACATCAACTCAATTTCTATAAATAGTGATTATGAAACTTATTTATCTGCTGATGATTTGCGGATTAATCTTTGGCATCTGGAAATTACAGACAGAAGTTTTAGTATCCACTTTGTTTTGGTATTTGGTAAAGAAAGCATATTATGCCCATATTAAATTCATCTTATTATTTCATATATTTGATATCTTTTTAAAATATCTTTTAATATAGGTGGCATCTTATTTTTTCCATGTATTTAAGTGATAACACAGGGGAAAAGTTACTTGATAAAGATAAATGGCTTGATGAATTGATTTCAAAATTGATTCATGGAATTTTAAGAGATTTGTATGTATGAAAATAGGAATTTGGTTTTTTAATAATTGAGTTTTTGGTTGAAAAATTATTGAGTATTATATTTGAAATTTTAATTATAAAAATATTTTCATTAGTGTTGGAAAAGGAAATTCATGTATGTTATGATGAAAGATGATATAATGTCAAAAGAAGTTATTCAAACCCCATTTTTGCTCTTTATACCAACCTCCTGAAATTTTCCTGTATATATGTATGTGATATATCAACCTATATACCTGTGCACATTCATATAATATAGATATAAATATAGAAATGTATTTCTTTTTTAAAACCTTGATCAGTGGTAGTTGTCTATGTATTTTTCAAATAGCTTATTGTTTCAAAAATTAAAAAATCTTTATCATAATTCATACTCTATCAATAGTATATAAGAGCCTATTTTTCTGTGTCTTTACCAGTCTAGTTAGTGAGAAAAAGTCTTTTGTCAGGTTGGGATTTGGCTCAGAGGTAGAGTGCTCGCCTACCATGCATGAGGCACTGGGCTCCATCCTTAGCACTACATAAAAATAAAAATATTGTTATAGCTAAAAATAAATATTTTTTAAAAAGAGGCTTTTTCTTTTTTTTTAATGAGTTTATTCAGGCATCTTTTTATATTCAGTCACTTGTATTTGTATTTTTTTTTTATTCTTTTCCATTTTTCCCCCTAGATTTACATGTACACATATTTTAATTTAAAGTACTTTTTTTGTATTGAGTTGATTGAGAAATAATATCCCTTTTTTACCCTCTTGAGGTGTGTGCTTTGGTTTTCTCTAATAGTTGTGAAGACAAATTTCTTGGTCTTTCCTTTAGGATTTCTGGCATTTGTATCATAATTGGGAAGACTTCTACAATCTAAAATTTTTCTGTTGTTCCTGAGAGCTATTTGGTTTTTAGCATTAAAAGTTCTAATACTTCTGGGATCTATACTCACAAAAGAGTAGGCTGCAATTCAGACTTAATACTTACTGTTAGGTTTATGAATTCATTTTAGATTTGAGATGTGCAGAATTATATTTGCCTGTTTTTTTTCAAGTGAAAATTCCTTAATAAAATCCTATCTAGATATTGTGGATATCAAGCCTGCCAATATGGAAGAGCTCACAGAAGTGATCACAGCAGCAGAATTCCATCCAAATAGCTGTAACACATTTGTGTACAGCAGCAGTAAAGGAACTATTCGGTTATGTGACATGAGGGCATCTGCCCTCTGTGATAGGCATTCTAAACGTAAGTTTATTTTATCTTTCTTAATAGCAGTTAATGTGTTTGGAACTCACCTCAGTCATATGTGTCCAGAGCCTCCTGTACTCTGGTAACCTGCCTGACACCATAAGGTATTACACAGGTTGTTCCTTAATATGCAAAAGCATAGTTTGGTTTTTTAAAAAAAAATTAGGAGTTGCAATATTCTTATCCTGTAATTCAATGTTGTTAAAACTCAGGAATTCCTAACAGGCTATTATGAAAATAATTTTACATAGCCACAAGAAAAATCCTGGTATAAATTTGGATGGGTGAGGATGGCATGTTTTTCACCTTGATGATATAGGTAGAGTCAGGTATTTTGTAGAATATACCAGTCTGGTACACTGAAGTCACAGTCTCAGGTGGGTCTGGTTCTACTAAATTAGCCATATGACTTTGGAAGCATACACTTTTGTATCTTCAACTTTCAATATCAGGTCATTTTTGTCAGACACATGCCTGTAATCCCAGCAATAAAAGGGCTAGAAATATAACTTAGTGGTAAAGAGCCCCTGGGTTCAATCCCTAGTTAATAACAATCCCCTCAATCATGTATGTCATTTTCTTAAACTTTTAGGGGAATTACGTTCATATTAAAGCCAGAGAGGAAAAAAATCATCTAATAAAGAATCGTCAGTTTTTTATTAGCTTGTGATTTTTTTACTTCATTCTTAGAATGTTTATGAATGGTTGTTCAGAAAATTTTTTGTTTAAGTCAGAATATTGTTCATATTGCACTTCTCTCTCTCCCCCTCTCTCCCTCTCTCCTTCTCTCCCCCTCTCCCCCTCTCCCTCCCTCCCTCCCTCCCTCCCTCCCCCCCCTCTCATTTTTGGCTTGTTTTTAGTGTTTGAAGAACCTGAAGACCCCAGTAACAGGTCATTTTTTTCTGAAATCATCTCTTCTATTTCTGATGTAAAATTCAGCCATAGTGGTCGCTATATGATGACTAGAGACTATTTGTCGGTCAAAATTTGGGATTTAAATATGGAAAACAGGCCCGTGGAAACATACCAGGTATTTGAGTTTTTTCTTTCAATGAGCATCTACCTTATTTACTTGGAAGTGTTCATAGAGTAGGATTTTTTACTATGTGATAATCCGAATGTACTGTGTGTGTTAACCATTAGATTTTCCATTCAGAGACCCATGGATATGTTGCTTTTCCTCATGTTAAGAGTGTGTGTGTGTGTGTGTTTATATACTGAGCGTTTCCAATGCCCCTGAATTGTGGTTTTATTATCTGTTTGGTTCAATATTGTCAACTTTGTGTGCTGAGATGTATGTATATATAATGTGGGAAGGAAGCTGCATTCTTTATTAAGGTCTGGGCAGTATAGTCCTGATAGGGTTGTACAAGCTGCGGCTGGGGAACATGTGGAGTGGTTGAATGAGAGCTTCAGTTTGGTGTGTCTAGTTGCGTGACTCAAGTGTCTTGTGGGCTGGAAGTATTGTCTTTGACCTAAAGGAAAGGGGCTTGAAAGCTAAAAAGATGGCTTAGGAGTTGCTTATTAAGGAGTATCAGTTCAGGATTCTCTTCTAGGCAGCCAGCCACTACCCTTTACTCATCTGCCCTCCACCAGAGATAAGAAATGAAGCGCACAGCCCAGCATGGGGCAGAGGCCAACAGAAACCTGTTATGCCCTGGACTATAATAGTGTAGAAGACATTTAATGCTGCCTAGGAATACACAGGTTATAAATGATCCCTTTATGTTACGCAGTCCCAATAAAAATCAAAGAACAGAATTTCTCAGACTAAGTATCCTTTCACAGACACATAAACCACTCAAGATTCTCAGTGAAATTTCTCTTGGAAATTTCAAAGTAAAACACTACATTGAAACAGAAGCAAAGATGTGAAGTACTGCTTTGTTTTCAAAATACATTTGGGTGCCAGCATTGTGGCACCCTATAACCCCAGCCATGTTGGAGGCTGAGGCAGGAAGATTACAGGACGGCCTAGGCCACCTAGCAAAACCCTGTCTCAAAATATAAAATAGGCTGAGATTGTAGCTCAGTGGTAAAGTGCCCTTGGATTCAGTACCCAGGAAGAAGTAAGAATATGTGTGTATGTGCTTTTGTTAATTCTTTATGTTTGTGTAACTGCAAAGGTTAATGTATCTCCTGGTTAACCTTAGCATCTCCCCATTCCCATTGAGAATTATTCATTTGGACCTTAGCTTCATACTCTTGAATCATTTGGTGAGGAACATTGTACAAACTACATGCATTGTAAAATGTGCTGAATCACAGTAACCTAGCAGATGTGTTACCTGATTTCCCAATTCCTGCCAATGCTAAACTGGATTAATAATTTAGTGTCACCTCATGCACATATAGCTATATAAATTCATAATTTTTTTGAATTTGTACAGTCTTGATTTGCTCTGTTATATGTGATTGGGGGATACTTTCATCTTCATTTTTTTTCACATTAGTTACCCATGTTCAATCCTAAACCCACAAAAGTTGCAAGTTCTCTGTATTAAAAGTAAAATGGACAGTTAAAATAAGATTAGGTTGTGGAAAGCATAATTCTGATTTAGAGTATACTTTATTATTACTTCTGTTTCAGTAAAAAGAATAGTCAATAAGTCTCCTTTTTTCCCTCTGATCACAACAAATACTGTGGCATTTTCTTTGTTAATTTAGCAATGTTAATATTGAAATGTATCGTGTTTCTCAATCTTCTTATTTTCCATATTTTTTCAAATATCAGTAAATACGGAATTCAAAAACAGATACATTTTAATTAGCTTTTGACATTGTGTAAGTAATATGGAGTGATACCATCAACATTTTAAATGATGCATATCTAATAACCAAACCAAGGCTTCACTGCACTGTGCGTAGCATATGCATTTACTTAAAAATATAAGCCCAAGTTTAAATCTATGCCCAGAAAATGGCATTTTAAAAGAAGTAAGCAGTGTTTTATCAGCAGTTAGTGGACTGAAAACCAAGTAGGGATGATCACATATTGCTCTTGTGTTCTTTTCTTAGTCTCTTCCGTTTCCAAATATTTTCTGGCTTGAGTGATTTAGTCGGGCATTTCAGGATACATGTGGCGTGCCAGAGCGATTTTTTTTTCCCTGTTGTACTACACGAAAATGTGCTTCCCTAAAAGGCGGTTTGTATTTTGTAAAAGACTCTTAAAACACTGCTATTATTGTTACCAAGAGTACTGAGATTTAAGATGTTTAGGGGTGTGTGTATCTTTTTTTTAAAATAAAGATAGGGACTTTTAAATTCATTTTCCTAATTTGAGTGCATAGGCTCTTTAGGTAAACTATTTTGTCTTTTCCCCAGGTACATGAATACCTCAGAAGTAAACTCTGTTCACTGTATGAAAATGACTGCATATTTGACAAATTTGAATGCTGTTGGAATGGGTCTGACAGGTAATTCATTTTAATTTGAATCTCTTATTCTAATAGGAATTTTATTAGAAAGAAACTTGCCATTGCATACCTCATATTATAATTGACATATTAGCTAGAAAAGATGGCCAATTTTTTGGGAGGGCGGTTCTAGGGATTGAACTCAGGCACTTGACCACTGAGTCACATCTTCAGCCCTATTTTGTGTTTTATTTAGAGACAGGGTCTCACTGAGTTGCTTAATACCTTGCCTTTGCTGAGGCCTACTTTTGAACTCATGATCCTCTTGCCTCGGCCTCCCAAGACGCTGGGATTACAGGCATGCGCTACTGTGCCCAGCATAACCAACTTTTTCTTTTTTAATATTTTTTGTTGTCAATGGACCTTTGTTTTATTTATTCATATATAGTGCTGAGAATCAAACCCAGGGCCTCACACATGCCAGGCAAGTGCTCTGCCATTGAGCCACCACCCCAACCCTCTTGACCAACTTTTTTTTAAGTTAACATAGATTACTTCATTTTCCACCAAGGGAAATTTAAAGTAAATTTAGTAATTTTAGATGTAACATAGCAATACTATGATAAAAATTAAGTATTGATTTCACTAGTAATATGAAGCAAAACATCTGCAACAAATGGTTTTATCTAAATTATTATTTGGATGTCTTCAGGTGTTTTTCTTTATGAACCAGATAAATCACTTTTCTCACTGGCTGAGGTGGTACACACCTGTAGTCCCGCCTACTTGGGGGCTTGAAGCAGGAGGTTAGCTGCTATTTCATCGAAATGTATGTCATTATTTCCAAAGTTTAAATAAGTCTTATTTTCAATCTTCTGTATTATCACTTAATGTGTTCCAGTTAAAACATAATTTCTAATACTTGTATTTAAAGTAGAGGTATTTTATTTTATAGTAGTTTTATCATAGAAGCTTTATATGGTTCAAGTTTCATAATAAGGTATTATCAAGGGTAGTAGTACTTGGAACAAATACCTTTTGTCTGGTTTTTATATTATACCCTTCTGATTTTAGCATGAGTTCCAATATTAGTTTGGCCGTACTAAGCAGAGAATCCTGTTGGTAGGAATAAGTAAACACTTGGAATGCCACTACTGAATCTGAGGAGTCAGAAAAAAGGAAAAGCGGGAAAGGGCGTGTTGGGAATAGACAGATTTGAAGAGAAAGAAGGTACTGATGTAATAGGATATGATGTACCTGTTTCCTCATGAAGTGGGGGCAGTGGGTGCACATTAATTTGTCACATTTTAATTTTGCACCAGTTTTACATAAGCACCACATGCGAAGTCCATTACCTTTGAATTTGTGTAATGACTTTCCTAAAGGCATACACACTCCCACAAAGTGACAGTACAGGCATGTAAAGCAGAAACTCATGTTGATGTAGTACTGTCATCTAATCCACAGATCTCTTTACATTTCTACAAGTTTTCTCAGTTATGTCCTTTAGCAAAGAATCTGGTAAAGCACATATTCTAGGATCCTGTGTTAAATTTATTTGTCGTATGTAGTTGTATTCTTTGTTCTTGAACAGTTCTTCATTTGAGTGTTTCTTAATTGAAGATTGTCTGATGTTTTCTCATGATTAAATTCAGGTTATACATTTTGGGTAGGGATATCACAAAAATGCTGGCCTGGTGATTCCTTTTAAAATTAAAAATAGCCAAAGATTCAGTGTCTTTAATCCATTGAAACTTCACAAATTCAGAGAATATGGGGATACCAGTCTCATTTACGTAAATCATTTAAAAGCAATAACAGTTCATTATCTTCAGGGACATGGCACCAACTTCAGATTGGTTAAAATTGTTCTCAATAATAATAATAATAGTAATAATAATAGTCCCTTATATGGAGGAGATAAGTATAACTTTGAACAAATCCTTAGTGTCCTATCATTTCACTTACAGTAATAATTTGAACCTGTGAGAAGGAGGTAGTACATAATAGTGGAACTAGAGTAGTAGTCCCCCCCCCCCTTTTTTTAAGCAATGGACCTTTATTTCCAAACTACTAAGGGTTTCACACTTGTGAATTTTTGCCTTTGAGAATACTTGGTGAATGTTGAGCAGTGATTGGTAGCAAATAGAAGTGACAAGAAAGTGTCTTGATGTTGGGGGTGATGGTGCCCATCTTTAATCCCAGCAGCTCAGAAGTCTGAGGCACAAGGATAGTGAGTTTGTGGCCAGCCTCAGGAAAGTTATGAGACCCTAATATCCCAAAAAGGTATAGTGCGGGAGTGTCTTAGGCAAGCAAAGTTGTAGATGGACACAATATCTTTATTTTTTAATTTTTTTTATGTGGTACTGAGGATCAAACCCAGTGCCTCACACATGCGAGGCAAGCGCTCAACCAGTGAACTACAACCCCATCTCTGAAATGATTTTCTATTGATAAAAATATCATATGCTACTTGATATTCTCAGGAGCAAATTTATCATAAGCATTCATAAAATATTATCTGAACTAGATGTACACTGAGACAAGTTAAATAGCTTATAATTTATATCATAAAATAAGCATTGGTTTCTTATGAATAGTTATTTGTACGCATCTGGGAGAAGAATAGAATTCAGAAATCCCATTATGGTTATTCCTTTATGAAGCTGACCAGACCAGGTGTGCTGGCACATGTGGACTCCCAGCTACTCAGGAAGCTGAGGCAGGAGGACTACAAGTTCATGGCCAGCCTCAGAAATTTAGTGAGGCCCTAAGCAACTTAATGAAAGACTGGCAGGTAGTGGGGCATGGGGCAGATAAGAAAGAATAGAATGAATTGGACATAATTTCCCATATTCATATAGGAAGACACAGTCAGGGAAACACCACATCATATACAACCATAAAAGTGGGATCCTAGTTATACTGCATGTGTGTATGTCAAAATACACTTTACTGTCATGTATATCTGAAAAGAACTAACAAAAATTTTTTAATGGTTGGGGATGTGGCTCAGTGAGTAAGTGCTTCTGGGTTTATTTCCTAGTACCAAAAAAAAAAAAAAACAGCAGCTGGCTGGCTGGATTGGTCAGTACTAAGAGAAGTTTTACTTGAGAATCTGTCAGCTTTGTTATAGTTTTGTTAGAACCAAGTTAACTCATATATTTCTGGCTTATTCCAATGATTGATTGAGTTTTGCCAGCAGCCTCTTAATTCAACTCTGCTTGAAGTAGCTACTTTCTGTAGAGTACTGGGTTAGGTTTAACCAAGAACCATTTTAGTAAATACACAGCCCTTTGTTCATTTATTTGACTGACTCTTCTACTTCCACAGCGTTGTCATGACTGGATCTTACAATAATTTCTTCAGAATGTTCGACAGGAACACAAAGCGAGATATAACTCTAGAAGCATCACGAGAAAACAATAAGCCTCGCACGGTTTTGAAACCACGCAAAGTCTGTGCAAGCGGCAAGCGAAAGAAAGATGAAATAAGTGTTGACAGTCTAGACTTCAATAAGAAAATCCTTCATACGGCCTGGCACCCCAAGGAAAATATCATTGCTGTAGCTACTACAAACAATCTGTATATATTTCAAGACAAAGTGAATTAGGGTTGGCATTCCTAGCGGAAGAGCCCACTTCCTGCTTAGTTGAGATAGTTGAATCTAGCATTCGTACCTATAAAAGAGAGAAGTCCATTGTGGCACCCCTTTCCAGTGTTTGACAGTGTGCCATTCGACAACACATTTTTATAGCTACATGGAGAAAACTCTGTGGGTTATCATTGTAGTGTTCTCCATGCCTGCTAGCCATTTAGGTAAGGGTAGGGCACTTTTAATTTAAATGACTTCTTGCACCATCTTGCCTAATGGACTAGATTGGACTGTATCAACATTGAGTTACTCCACTTTTTATGCCTTCCATTGTGATGACGTCAAACACAGTGAAAGCCTTCAGTCATGCTATGGGATTTGTGTATCCTCATTACTGTATCATTTGTGGGGTACACCCCTTCTCCCTTTTTTAAATTAAATACAGCTCATTCTTACTGTGGCTTGTAGCATTCCTCCTCTCTGGCCTCCTGGACTCTCCCCCTTCATCTCTCTTACCCTTGCTCCTTCCACCCAGTCTTGGTGGTGGTATATTAAGAAAGAAAGAACGAAAGCACACACAAAATGAGTCAGTTTGGGGTCAGTGATAAAGGGGGTATATGTTGCGAACAAATGTTCTAATAACAGTTGGCTGTAATCACTCCTTGCCATGTCTGGCACTGAAAATAAGGAAAAAAAAAACTATTACTGAATAAAAGTGACAAAGAATGGAGAATCTGGTTTTCTTTTTCTTTTAAATCTACCTCTTTAAGCCAGTATTTTGTGTCATACCCTTGGGTGCAGTGAAATGAAATTGGGTTTCCATTGTTTTATTGGTATTTTGTTAATTATTTGTAACATTTTCTTCTACATGGGGAAAGAACAGGTGTTCTATTTGAACATGGTTTGAATACATATTGGTATTAAGGATTTCAATCTATAAATGCTACTAGTGTTTTTTATTGTAGTTATGAGGGTATTGGATACATTGTATCTATACTTAACCCATTTTCTGTTAATGAAATTGTTGTAAATGAGAACCAAATTTGTAGAATTTCATTTTTAAAGACTTTTTATAGTGCTTAATTTAATTTTTGCCTTATTAAATATTAATTCAAAGACTTAAAAATGTTTTTAACAAGTTAAGCTTTTTTTTTTCTTTTTGTTATTCAGTAGAACAGAAAACTAATGTTGAGTGATTCCATAGGTTAAATTGACACTGCACTATTTTTTGGTTTTGTTTTTGTATTTTATTGCAGTCAAATCAGAATGAGTTGTACTTTGCCATAGATATTTTTCTTTGGTTTCCCAAAGCTACATTAAAGAAAAACTTTTTTAAAGGTACAGTGTTCAAAAAGTGCTTAATGGACTCCAACTGCTGCCTCAAATAAAAATTTAGTAATCTGTGACTGTGCTTTCCCTACGTGGTGACACCTTATCCAAAGATGAAAATGACCCCTGTTTTTAATAGGTGGAATGTACCTTTGTCAGTCCTGCAGAAGCTTTAATGGAAAGAAAAAAATGGACTTTATTTTTAAAAGATGAATTGAGCAGGCATTTATATCCTTAAAGAATGGTCGTATATTTTGGTTGAGCAGTAATATAAGAGCCATGAATGTAGAGGACTCGAGTGCTTATATTTCCACTACTTATTGTTCTCATCTTCAACAGTGAAAAAAATGATCAAACAGTCCCACCGTAATTCCCTATACACTTATGCAAATATTATTATTATATCTTGTAAGTTAACATTTTTAGCACACAAAAAATTTATGTAATAAAATCACTGTATCTTTTGGAGTTAAATTTTGAATTTGTATTTAAACACATTGATTATATGTCTGATAATTCTTAATGGCACTTTTACTAATTGATTTGGGGGCCTTGGGGGTGCATTCCTAATTTGTGTTATTTATTCTTCACACTTGATTTGCAAGTGGGATGTTCCCCTAACAGAAATATTAATAATGTTCTGTTTTCTGAATGGGTATCTTTCAAGAAGATCCTTTTGGGAGGTGGTTTCCCTGCAGTTTGGTTGTATGTCTTGAGATAAAACCATGAGAAAGCTCTTGGAAATTCTCTTTTTATTCATCAGTAGCTATGATGATACTCATCCATGACACTAAAGATTAGTTTTATATATTTAAGAGAAACAATTGCTAAAATTAAAATGCCTCTATCAAGGGAATGCTATTATAAATTATTGTAACATTATCTCAAGTATTTTTTAATTTCTTTGGTGTAGCAAACTATAAGCCCAGCCACTCATTTTATATGGTCATGGTTAATTTTTTTATTAATAAAAATTATAGAATAAACTTAGTCTTGTCAAGTTGCTTGTATTTCCTATTCTCTTGCCACTAATACAATCTTTCCCTTAACCTTTTTCAAAAGATTATGGTAGAAGAAATTTCATTCTATTAATTTTCTTAGATCTTTACTTGGTGGCTGGGCAATAAGAATAGTTAATTTATAAATATAAACACATTTTTATATGACAAATAATTACCAGGTATTAAACTTCTGTGAAGCCTTTAGTCTCTTGAGTTAAAAAAAATGCATTCATGCACTTTTTTCTTTTACAAAATTGAGGTTTCTTTTAAACCTTAATTTGAGTTAATTGTGGTAGATATGCTTTTAAAGAAAATGGAAACATGAACACTGAGCTTCTTTTAGTCTATAAGAGTAATGTGTTTACTAGAATATTGTGTATGTAAAAGCTGACGAGTACTGATAAAAGCTTTTTAAGTGAAATTTAAATTATTTTCTTTGGGAGTATTGCTGGAACATCTTATTTATACTTCACATAAATTGGAGTAGAGATAATTATGTACACTTCAGGAAGAACACAAGTGCCACCCCCACAAAAAATAAAAACTGGAAAGGTGCTGGGCATTGTGGCATCTGTAACTAACCAGCAACTATGGAGGCTGAGGCAGGAGAATCACGAGTGAAGGACAGCGTAAGCAACTTACATGTGTCAACAGGGGTATAGCTCAGTGCTGAAGCACCCTTGGGCTTCATTTCAGTACCACAAAGAAAAGCAGAATAAGATAGGTGATCAAGAATCAAGTTTCTTTTGTATTTGAGAATATCACTATTTTAAGTATCTCTTTTCAGATGGTACTTCAAGCTGTGTGTGTGTGAGAGAGAGAGAGAGAGAGAGAGAGAGAGCGCGAGCGTGCATAAGCGAGCATGTTTATAAAGTTGTTTACACTCCTCCCCCAAAAGTCTTGGAAACATACCTTACTTCATATTTCCTAATTATTCATATGAGTCAGATTACAACTTGGGTATTACTCTCATTAGATCTTTTATTAACCTATGGTCCGAGTGTTTTAAGATGGTAAAGATTCCTTACCTACCACTGAGTTCAACATTTTTAATAATTCAGTTGTTTCAATGTTTTTTTACACAGTGATATTAGATTGGGCAACCTCTTTCTCTATTCGAATTTAAACTTCTACTTGATGCAGGCTTAAAGTATTAACTTGAAAATATCCACCATACAGTGGTACAGTGCATGTCCAACAAAAGGCAATGCAAAGTTTAGGGTTTTGTTTTGTGTTGGTTTGATTTTTTGGTAGAAGATTAAACTCAGGGGTGCCTTACCACTGAGCTACATTCCCAACCCCTTTTTATTTAGAGACAGGGTCTTGCTAAGTTGCTTAGGGCCTCACCAATTTGCTGAAGCTATCCTCAAACTTGTGACCCTCCTGCCTCAGCCTCCCAAATTTATGGAATTACTGCACTCAGCAAAACTGAGTTTTTATAGGGGAAAAAAAAAGGATTTGGGAAAACAAAGTAACTAGAGCTAAATACTAAGTACACAGTTCAGTGGTAGAGTGGGAAAGTAGCATGATCAAGGTGTTGGTTTGTTCCCTAGTACCACAAAATGATAATACTATCATTAAAAGGTGGTCAGAGGAGGGAAACTCATTGGTCCTGCTTTTATAGTATTCTACTTACTGCACCTTTATATTTGAATAGTTATGAGTTCTTCAAGGACTTTCCAGCTAGGGGGGCATAGGTTAAGTCTTGAACAGAATTTATAACTTATTTTTGAGAACATAGACCTGGGAGTTCTGTTTCTATACTAGAAGAGCTTTATGTTTAAAAAACAAATTGGGGTTTTTAAACCAAGTTTTACATTCCCAATACAACCACTATTCAACATGACTGGAGTAAAGTTCTTGTGTGGTCAGACCTTGTTTGGAAAGAGGTAAAAATGTAATTGGAAGACTGTTCCAGCCTGGCGGGATGGCACATGCCTGTAATCCCAGAACTCGGGCACTGACGCAAGGCCAAGCAACTCAGTGAGACCCTGTTTCTATAAGATACAAGATAGGGCTGGGGATGTGGCTCATCCCTGGTACACTCCTGCCAAAAAAAGACTTTTGAGCTACACTTTTCTTTCAGACTATGTGTTAGCAAAATCATACCCTGTGTATCATTTTAAACACCTCTCACCTTTACAAGGAGACCAGGAACTTTATTTTGCACATTAACTCAAATCTCTAAATTCCTTATAAAATAGTATTCTGGGGGCTGGGGTTATGGCTCAGTGGTAGAGTGCTTGCCTGGCAAATGTGAGGCCCTGGGTTCGATCCTTAGCACCACAGAAAAGTAAATAAATAAAGGTACGGTGTCCATCTACAACTAAAAAATATTTTTAAATAGTATTCTGAATGCATATTGTTTTGGACTTCTGTTTTTAAGGTAGGAAAAAAATGCCACCAAGAGCATTTACCTAGACCTGGTAAAATGCAATAGACCCTGACTTTCATCCTCAGCACACAGTCCCCCCCCCCCCCCACCAAAAAAAAGTAATTTTGTTACTCAGAGAAAATAATAATCACATTTTCATGTGTTTTGTTTTTGCTCTTTTAGGCACAACATATTTACATGTCTTATTCTCCACTTAATATTTATACCTTAAGCAGTTTCTCATATTTTCTGAAACCGAGACTTTCATGACTACAATGCCTCAGTTATCTCATTAGTTAGCCAGTCCCTGTTGACATTTTTGTTTTTTCAAGTAAGTATACTGGAATAGTGAATATAGCAATCTTGGTGTGAGAATCATTAGGATATATTCCAAAAAATAATGTATTAGTGGGGTGTGATGGCACGTGACTGCAATCACCAGTGGCTTGAGGGGCTGAGGTGAGTGAATCCCAATTTTGAAGCAACTTGGTGAGAACCTGTCTCAAATTTTAAAAAGCGCTGGGATGTAGCTTAGTGCTAGAGCACTCCAGGTTTTAATCCCCAGTTATCACCAAAATAGTAACATATTAAGGGAGATGAATATGTTTTAGATCTGGTGCATACTGGCAAATTTCCCTTCCAAACTTCCAAAAAGTTTCACCATAAATATAGGGGATTACCCATGTTTCACACTTATTACTGAACAAAAACCCATGTTTTATCTTTGTAAGTTTGAAAAGGAGATGGTAACTGAATTTTCTGTTTATGTTTCATCTTTCTAATATGATAGTAATTGCTATAATGTGGATACGACACCTTTACCAGGCATGTTTTATCAATATTTTCTCCATGAGGCTTGTTTCTTTCAACAGTACCCCCCTCTTTTTTTGGTGCTGGGAGGATTGAAGCCAGAGGTACTCTACTACTGAGCTGTATTCCTGCCCCCCCTGCCCTTTTTTTTTTGAGACAAGGTCTCACTAAATTGCTGAGGCTGGCATTGAACTAGCAATCCTGCTTCAGCCTCCCAAAACGCTGGGATTACAGATGCACGCCACTGCACCTGGCTCAACAGTGCCTTTTTAAAAAGCAGTGTATCAGTATAGATTTTTCTTTTATGGATATTTTGGTGTCATCTCTAAAATCATTGCCTAATTCAAGGTCACAGCCTTTTTTTTTTTTTTTAGAAGTTTATTATTTTTCAGTTTTAGCATTCTATGATCCATTTTTGAATTTTTATGTATGGTTCATTTATAAAAGTGATATACAGTATGTACCACGTATAGATCAAGATTTGTTTTTCTTTGCACCTTTGTTGAGAACCAGTTGGCTGTATATGTGTGAAGGTCTCTGAACTGTCCCATTAATGTACATATTCATTTTCACTAATACCTTGTCTTTTTTTCCCTGTAGTTTTATATAATTGAATATTGGGGGCATTTGTTGTTGTTGTCGCTTTTCTGGTGCTGGGGATTGAGCCCACGAGTATTCTGCCTCTGACTACATTCCAAGTCCTATTTTACATTGAATTTTGAATCTGTATCTTGTTAAATTGCTGAGGCTGGCCTCAAACTTGATATTCTCCTGCTTTAGTGTCCTGAGTAGTTGGGATTTTAAGTGTATAGCACCACACCTGGTTCAATTTTGTTCTTTTTCAGAATTATTTTGCATTTTTTGTTCCTTTACATATTTTAGAATCACCTTATTGACTTCAAAAATCGAAAGCAGTTCCTTATATTTTGATGTTAATTTCACTGAATCCATAGGCCAGGAACAGTGAACATCATAAGAATATTTGTCTTCTAATCTGTGTATTACAGCATATTGCTCAATTTATTTGTCTTACATTTCTTTTATTAATGTTTTCCATTTTTAGCATACAGATCTTGCACATATGCATGAAATGTTTGCTACTGTAAATGGCACATTTGTTGAAATTTTTATTTAGAAAATACAATTATTATATTCAGACACATTGAGAAATTCACTTATTTTGGTTTATTTTTAAAGTTTTCTAGTAGACATTCACATTTGCATATTATTTTTAGTTTTTTTGTTGTTGTTTTATACCAGGGAATGAATGCTTAACCACTGAGCCACAT